GGGCGGTGTAGGGCGGTGTGAGCGGTGTGGGACGGGGACGGGGACAGGCGGGGCGCTGAGGGGCGGCGCGGGGCGGTGCGGGCGGCGGAGCGCGCGAAGATGGCGGCGGGCAGGCGCGCCCCGCGCACCGGGCTGCTGGAGCTGCGCGGCCCCGGCGGGCAGTGGCTCCGCGTCCTGCTGACCCTGGCCGAGGACGTGCTGGGGGTCAGCCCGGCGGACGGCCCCGGGCCCGGCCCCGAGGCCCCGGCGGCGCAGCTGAACGGCGGCGAGCCGGGCTCCGCCGCGCCCGAGGCGCTCGCCAACATCAGGCGCACCGTGCGCGTCGTCAAGCAGGACGTGGGGGGGCTCGGCATCAGCATCAAAGGTGAGGCCGGGCGGGGGTCGCGGGGCGCCGGGGGGAGAGGGGCGCCGGGACCTGTTGCTGCCGCCGTCCCGCGGCTCGCTCGGAGCGAACCCCGCGGGGAGCGGGGCTGGGGCCGGGGTCCGCACACTCCCCCAGCCCCAGCGGAGGCAGGGAAGGGGACACGTGGCAGTGACGGGACCCGCAACGTTCCCAGCCTAAACGAGCGATGACTCGGGCTGCAGTGACCGGCCAGTCCCTGCCCGCCGTGCCCCGGCCGCAGTGAGGGTCCCCAGCGTTTGGGAGCCGGCRGGGGCTCCCACTGTCCCCCGCACCCACGGGTAGGGTGGGGTGCAGGGGACACCCGGTTACATAAAACTTGCCCTTTTGCAGCCAAAGGGACGGCTGGGCTGGCGTGTCCTTGTCCCCCCGTATTCCTGAGCTGGGAAATAAATGSCCCTTTAAAACTATCCGCCAAACGAAAGGAGCGGTGTAAAACCCTGGAGATCTCCGGTTGCTGGGGTGTGAAAGCGGCGCGCTCGGGCTTGGAGCTGTGTGCTCCCGGGAAGCCGAGCAGCGGGAAGCCTCCGCGTTACAATGCCTGTCTTCCCTGCCAAGCTGCCCCGCTCCTTGGTGAGACTCGCCTGAACTTCAGGCTTGAAACTTCTTGGGGCAGGGATGGCGTTCCTGCCTCTCTGCCTGCSTTCGCTTTTCACGCGGCTCCAAACGTGTTGGAAGCTGTGAAAGGAGGATGAAAAGGGCAGCGGAGAGGCAGGGACAGGGCTGTCACGGAACGTGGCTGTGAGAGGCAGCGGGTTCGGCAGCCCCAGGGGCAGTGACAGGGCAGCTCTCGCCTCCTGACGTGGCTTCTCCCCCCAGCTCAGAGGGGAYAGGGACGCAGCCGCCGGCTCCGTCTGGGAGTGGGGAGGTTTTGCAATGTGTATGTGCGGGTACTGGAATGGATCGACACTCCTGGCAGTGTCTGCAGGATGTTCCAGCCTGCCAGTCCTTTTTTTGGGAAGCATAAACTCTCCTTCATAACCATCCCTTGGCTGCCAAGTTATTGCTTGCTCTGTGGCTCTCCCAGGAAAGGAGAAACTTCCCTTGGTCCAGTTAAAACTTCATGTTTGCAGTGACGTATGTGGAAAAGAAGTAGTTGCCATCCAAACCGKGGGTGGAAGGTGTTGTGGAGGGTGGGGCAGGACATCACTGCTCACCGGGCTGCTGGCATGTCACTGTTCTTGCGCCAGCGGTTTTCCRCGCAGGGACACTTCGCTGCCACCCGAGGGGTGGATATTCTGCCATGGGACGTGGCGAGGGGCTGGCAGGACAGCGGGGAGCCGAGCCGGAGCTGGGCTGGCAGAGGTTCTTAACCCTGGCAGAGCTCTCGGCGCTGGCAGCCGGGCGAGGAGCCGCTGCCGCAAGGACGGAGCAGCCCCTGCCGGGGCCTCTGACAGCTGATAACCGGAGCCCTCGCAGGGCTTGGCAGGCGGCTGAGCGAGGAAATGCCTGTGGCACTGGCTGGGAGCAGCCCGGGGCRGGCAGTGACAGCGGGCTGGGCTCAGCATCTCCCTCTGGGATGGGGATCATCCCTTGGAGACTCCTCGGGACAGGCTGTCCCGGGGCTCGGGGCACGTCGGGCACTGCTGATCCCGGCTGCGATGGGCAGTGGCTGCTGCATCCYGACTGCCTGGCACGGAGGCAGCTCGGATCTCCCGGCGGGTTCAAAAGTCAATGTGTAAATTGATCTGGAGCCGCCGGGAGTTTGAATTGCATTCTTTTAGTCGGGAGAGCGGGGAGCAGCAGGTAAACAGAGCTGCTGTGTGGAGAGGAGCACGCAGCCAGGTTGGTTCACCTCTCCCTGCCTCTTTGGCCTCTCCAAAAACGTTCAGCTGTCTTATCTGCTGAGATCATGAAGTCCTCGGAGCCAGGATAGTTGCTCAGCACACATGATTAATAATGCAAATAAAGGCATGCTTTCCTGCCAAAACTGATGGGGAGATGGCCAGGATACATGTTCACTCTGTGAATAATCTGTGACCAATCTGAGTGGTTTTGGAGCAATCACTTCATCTGCTGTAAAGCCTCGTGGTACTTTGGCCGCTGTGGTTGGTACAGGTGTCCTGTGGGTATCTGGGGGAGTGGGCAGTGGGCTGACCTGGCACAGTACATTGAGTGCCAGGAGAAAGGCTCAGCCTTGCTGGGACCATCTGGTACCAGAGCATCCCCCTTCCCACCCACTCCTTCGAGTGTTCCAACAGCCACAACTGCTCCCTGTCTCTTCTATTTCAAGGTGGCCGAGAGAATAAAATGCCCATCTTGATCTCCAAGATCTTTAAGGGGCTGGCAGCAGATCAGACYGAGGCGCTGTACGTGGGTGATGCCATCCTCGCCGTCAACGGCACCGACCTGTCYGAGGCCACGCACGATGAGGCTGTGCAGGCCTTGAAGAAGACGGGCAAGGAAGTGATCTTGGAAGGTAGGGGACAAGAGTATGATGGGGGGAAGGGCCCTGCTGTACTGGGGTGACACGGAGTGCCATATCATCTGCAGCTGCATTTGCATAGCCTTTCAAATGGAAAACAACATATGCAGAGTAATTTGTCTGCTCATGCAGAGAGCTGGAGGTAACTGCTGGGATTTCCCTGTCTCCCTTCACAGAGGGAGGAATGTGTGTGCTAGTGCTCCATGCCCAGAGGCTCTGTCTCCCCACTGTGGGACCGCGGGCAGGCAGCAGTGGGAGGTGTGGGACAAGTTTCTGGGGTTTGAGATTCTTCTGTTGCACAGCATCACCCCRACGTCTGCAGTTCCTGGGGCAATAGAAAATATTTTCTGTTTTTCCCATGGTTTTAATTTAAACCCACATCCCTGGCTGGTGTAGCTTTATGCCAGTGGGGAGGAGGTGCAGTGGCTCCACACTCCTGCTGWGCACCCTGGGGTTTGCTGGCTGGGTTTTGGGCAGGCAGGAGCAGCAGGTGGAGGGTGAGGAAGGGCTTGCTCAGGAGCTGCCCACCCAGGGGATCCCTGGCAGCTGAACCCCACCAGATCTGGTATCTGTGGCTACAACCATCTCAGGAGTGCACCCTCCACCATTCTGGGAACAGGCTCTCTTGGCACGCTGCAGGAGCCCCCTGAGCCCCACTTGCAGACTGGGTGAGGGTTGATAGGTTGGCACCATGGGAGCCCTGAGGGACAGACCCCATTCTTCTCTGGTTCCCCTTCAGATCACATCTGTCTGTGTTTGCGCACCCTCTGCCTGCTCGGCCAGCTGAGATGAGCATCCCAGATCTGTCCCTCAGGACAGGACCCTTCCCCTCCCTTCACTTCCAACCAGCCCCTGTTTAACAGGGGGGGTCTTGGCACGATGGGCCCTTCCCAGATCCCAAAGGGAGGTTTGATGTGGGGGCAGTGCTTTGGGCTGTCCCTGCACAGAGCAGAGTTCTGTGTGCTGTGCTGCCAGTGACCACCGTGGCTCCAGCTTTCCTGCGCCTTCYCCAGATTGTCTCAGCTCCAGATTTTCATTTTTAGCTTCGCTCAGCCCTTTCTGCTGTGGGTTCCTCCTCTCCTGGGAGCCTCAGGACCACAGTTCAGCTGGAGGAATGTGCTGCTCTGCACAGCTGCTGAGAGCAGATAGGGTTGGTGGTGGGGTGGTTTTGTTGTTTTTTTTTTTCTTCTGACCAAAGAGAAATACAAGAGCTTCTTTCTTTGTGAGTCTGTGAAATTCCTGCCTGGAACCTCTGCTCTCGGACCACCCTCCTTCTATTTTTCTGTTCATCCTTTGGTGTGGGTTTCCTTTCTGCCAAAGGTCCTGCCAGAGGTGGAGAGGAGCTGCCCTTTCTGGAGAGAACAATTTCTCTCCCCGGACCCCTCCTCCATCCCCTGGGAGCCAGGTCCCCTTCCTGGGAGGCAGCTGCAGGCAGGGCCTTTGCTGTAGCTTGCTGAGCTCAGGTATGACCCTCTGGGCTTCTTAATTAATTAAAACTYCTGGCAGGTACCCTTGGAGGAGAGTGGGGCTGGGCTGGCTCCCACCATGGCASTTTGGGAGGAGTTTGTAGCTGATGTTGTTGAGGTCCAGCAGGGAAGGGGTCTCTGCTGCTCGTCTGATCACTGGTGTCACTGATAAAYGTGGTACATCTCTATCCTCTCCTGGTTTGGGTTTGCTGGCACTGTGTCATGGTCCCTGTCAGGCTGTCACTGCCCTGTGGGGTTGGTGGCCCTGCCTCAGGACAGGATGTCCCCTGCCTTGTATCTGCCACCCTCTTGGCTCTCCAGAGCTGGCTGGCCAAGCACCCTGCTCTGGGGCAGGAAGCAGGGCTGGAGGTGCCTGAAGGGTGTTAAACAGAGGTTTCCCTGCTCCCTTCTCCTGCTTGGAGAAGGCAGAGCTTTAAAAAGAGCAGCTTGACATCATTTAGACACTTTCTGGTGCCTGCGYGGTGCCAGGTGTGACTCCAGCTTTCCTTACGGTGCTGTAAGTGCTAAAACAGAGTAGTTTGGCACAGCCAGTGTCTGTTCACTCCTTGCTGCTCCTGGCTGCAGTCATTGCTGGGATTAGCAGTTTTTAGAGTGGTTTGCCCATGGGATTACAGCAGGTGACAAAACTGGGAGAGCTGGCARCTCCTCACAGGGCATTGAGCTCGGGTGAGTCTCCCCAAAGCAGCCAAGCTGGGAGGTGATGTGTTTTAATGCGAGGATCAGCAGTGGCTCCATGTGCCAGATTTCACCCTGGGCTGCTCAGCTTGTCTTCAGGCTCCTGGGTGTCATTGCTGCCCAGGCGTGAGGACACGCAGATACCTCTCTGTGTGTCCTGCCAAGATTTTTTTTGGATGTGCCAAACTACTCCCTTGGTATTTGCAGGAGGAGTTGGACTGTATTTATATTACATTGTTATTTYGGGGAGAGTTGCTCTCCCTTGCCTTATTTTTCCCTTGTATTTCTTTTTCCTTATTTTCTTTGCTTGGAATCCAGACACTCTCCATGGCAGGGGAARGGCTGATAAACATCCTTCCAACTGCCCTGGGAAGGGTGCTGGGGACAGGGGTGGTTTTCCTGGTGAGGCCCCTGTGCTGTATTGTCACCGGGGGAGAAGTGAGAGCAGTGGGGAGGAGGAGTTGGGGCAGCAATGGGTGTTTCATGTCCTTGGCAGCCTGGGGCTTGTTGGCCACAGGGTGCTCCTGGGGCTGTCTCTGCTCTTTGGCATTTGCTTGGCTGAGGAATAGCTTGGAAGGTTGAAATTCCCAAAAATGGGTGCTGGGAGAGAGTGGGGCTGGGGATTCTCTGGAGTGCTGCTTGTCATAACTGYGGGAAGGAAGGCTTTGGATCTGCTCCAGGAATGATGCAGAGGTGGTGAGGGGACACATCTGCCTCCTCCACACATYGCACTCTGAAGCTTTGCTTTCCTTGGGGTGTTTCCTGGGTTTGTTTCTCCTCCCCTGGCAACAGGGAGGGTTGTCCCGTGATCTCCCTGCTGTCCGTGCAGCACAGGGGAATGTTTAGCAAAGAGCTGGGAGTGCTGGGACAGGGCCCTGGGGCAGGAGGGACAGCAGTGGCACCTCATCCTGCAGCATCCCATGGCATTTCCCCCCTTGCACAGGACTTGAGCTGAGGCAGGGGGGACAGCAGCTGCTGTTGCATTCRTGTTAGGAGCCAGGGACACACATCCCATCCTGGGTGGGATGCTGGGGGATTGTGTTGACTATTTTGGAAGCACATCAGAGCATCAGCTTGGAGTTTGCMGGCCATTTCAGGGTGCCTCTGCAGGATGTGTTTTTCCTGAGCCCCCCCAGTTTAACGTGCTAATTTTGCATCATTAATCCTGAGGCATAGAGGGACAAGCTGGAGATGGGATTAGCATCTCTATAGGGCCAGCACTGGATCTCCAGTACCTCTCTGGAAGATTCCTTGATGTGATGGCCTCGCTGAGATGTGTAGATGCTGCWGGGAGGATTTTKGCAGGAGAAACAGCTGTACCCATCMTACCCCTGAMCAGCAGTGYAGTCTGGAACCTCATCTTTGAATCCATGCTGTGACCTCTGGTCTGAAGCAGAGCATGCTGATGACCCAAGCAGTGGGAGGAAGGGTGTTCTTGAACCTGCCCTGTCTGTTTTCCTGCCTGCAGGCTTGGCTCTGAGCAGAGCTGAGCTTTGGGGGTGTGTGGGGCAGCTTATGCTGACTCAGCATCCAGGGTGCCAGCAATGCTTGGTTTGTGCTTGGTTAATGCTTGCTTTGCGCTTTTTCTCCATCCTTGTGAGGGGTGGGCTGATGGAGGGGAGAATTTGTACCAAAGAAGTAAAACCAAGGAATTTTGATGGGTCTGTCCCTTTCTGGCATGCTGAGGAGAAAAAATAAAAAACCAGCTGCAACACAAAGGCAGACACAACACCTTTGGTTAAACGTGTCCCTGGTGCAGTTCCCTCCAGGGTTCAGGGCACATGGGATGCTCCAGTGATTGGGAGCCMCTGTGCCACCATGCCCCTGCAGAGATGCTGTCCAGGCATGGGATGGGTGGCCAGAAGCACAGACACTTCTTCTGTTCCCCAGATTCCCAAAATAAAGTGTTCCTCAGCACAAACCGCTGAGCAGTTAAAGGTCCTATTTGTCCCCTGTCCTCTGCCCTGGAGAGGATCAGTGGGACAAGCTTTTTCCCTGGAGAGCCCAGATGGTTTTGGGGGCCATGTGGGTGAGCCCAGAAGCCACTAAGGGCTGTGTGCCTGCTGTAGGCATCTTTAAGTCAGCTGCAGCCAGGCTGTGTTTCTGTGCAGTGGTTTTTGGAGAGTGCAGGCTGCCAGGGAACAGGTAGGAGCCCCAGCTCTGCAAGGTGCTAATTAGAAAGAAAAAACAATTCAAAAATTACAGTTACCAGTAGGTGATGCATGATGTAGTGTGAGTTGTTTACTTTAATGAGATGGAGGTAATTAATGARTCCATTCAATACCAACTATAGTGAAGGGACTTGGAAAAGTCTAAGTCAGCCTGCTGTGAAGCCAGTGCTGGGGTCACTGGAGGGCACAGCAGCTCTGCTGGGATGGTGGCCTGGCCTTGGCGGGGGAGCATCGCAGCCTCCAGCACATCCCAGCTCTGTSAGCTGGCTCAGGACACCCCCGTGTTCTGTGACCAGCCTGAAATCCTCCTTAAATCCACATACCAGGGACACACACGCTGCCTGTTGCCTAATCCCCTGTGCCCTGTCCCGGACTGGGCACTGCTCCCGCTCTCCACGGCTCCCTGGGGACGTGACCCTGCCACCGCCCAGCCAACGCCGGTGACGTCCCCCGCGTGCCCGGGGAGCCAGGCACTGGCGCAGGGACACCGCTCGGGTTTCAGCAGCTCAATGGCATCTTTCTGAGCTCCAATTAGTTCCCAGGCACCGGGATAATGGCAGGGCCCTGCTGCCAAGATGAATGGCTCGGGTCAAGCCCAGCGCGGCTCACATGCCTGCGGGAACGTGGCTATTTTTGTAAGGGGAGGCTCAGGGCACGAGGCTGGTGGCCCCCTGCCGCCGCCTTGGCCCCGAGGCCACTGCAGGGTGACCCGGCCCACGTGGCACAGCCCKGTGGCCATTTATAGCCCTGTCCCGCAGGGCACCCACGGGGCTGTGGCTCCCCGCAGCTCCTGCTGGGCTGTCGGCATCGAGAGGCTTTAGGGAGCTCAGTGGGGTAGGAATGAAGAGGGAGAGCACAGAATGGGCTGAGAGGGACGGGACCCACAAGGATCATCAGCAGGACACCCCAGCAATCCCAYCCTGTGCCTGACAGYRTTGTCCTGGAGCTCTGGCCGCCTTGAGGCCACGACCACTGGGGAGGATGGGTGGGAAATGGGCAMTGGTGGCCAGGTGAAGTTTGGGATTGGGTAGTCCTGCATGCACACTCTTTCCTGGTGGGAGCAGGRCTCCTTCCTGGCAGCACATCAGGCCTCTGAGGCTTGGCTGCAGTGATGGAGCTGGGCCCATCCAGCCACCTACAACTGTTGGCTGCAAAGCCCGGCTCATGTCCCCCATCCTGCCACCCACGCTGCTGACTCGGGCCTGCAGTGGCACCAGCCAGCACGGCTGRGGACGTGCCTGCAGACACGTGGCTGTCCCGTGGTGTTTTCCTAAGGCCTCCAAAGGGAAGCCTGTCCCGGGAGTCAGTAGCTGGTCCCACGCTGCCCCAGGACAGGCCCAGGACTGGCATCCCGCCTGCTCCTCTGGAGCTTTTTAGCCAGAATTGCCAAACTCGTATTCAGGATGTGGCTGTGGGGCCCCATCAATTTGTGGTGCCTTTCATCTCCCCCTTCCCCTAAACCTCTGGAGCCAGCTGCCATCCAAGCGTGGCTCTGAAGGCTCTGGCTCTGGAGCCAGGTTTGCTGGGGACTGATTTCTTGTCCCTGGTTTGAAGCACACCGGGCTGTGCAAGTGGATAGCATGCTCTGCAAGGCTTTTYCTGGTGCCAAGCCAGGGTATTTGAGAGCTGTTCCTCAGCTGGCAGYGGGACTGGCTGTACTAGCACAGTTTAAACTGTGTAATTTTGGCTTGGGACTCTTTCCCATTCCCCACCCCTGGCTGYGTGTGCTGCCCCAGGGAACTGCTCAAGCCGGATCTGTGAACTGATCTGGGTTGAAGGGAAGGAAAAAGGGGGAAAGGTTGATTTTATCCATCTTAGGGAGCTCTCCCCAGAATGGGATGGTGGGGCTGAGGTAGTGGGAGGGTACAAGGTGTCTTGTAAGGGTGGGGCGGTACAGGCTGCCCAGAGAAGCTGTGGCTGCCCCTGGATCCCTGGCAGTGTCCAAGGCCAGGTTGTAYGGGSCTTGGAGAAGCCTGGGACAGTGGAAGGTGTCCCTGYCCATGGAATGAGGAGCTTGGAATGAGATGAGCTTTTAGGTCCCTTCCAACCCACACCATTCTGTGATTCTGTGTCACTCCATGTGTGACCTTGCCCACCAGTGCCCTCCCTGCTCTTGCAGGGGCAGGGAACCCACAGCGCCTACGGGGGAGGTGATGGTGGTTGCACCAGCTCTGCCACAGGAAGGGCAAAGGAGATTTCAGTGGGGCCGGACGAGGCTGCCCTGGTCYGTGCCATATCCTCAGCCTGGTGCTGCCTTTCTTCCAGTGAAGTACATGAAGGAGATCTCGCCCTACTTCAAGAACTCCTCAGCGGGGGCGACGGTCAGCTGGGACCCCTCTCCTGCYGGCCAGCAGAAGCGATCCTCCCCGCTGCTGCCTGCTCGGGAGCTCCGGGAGAGCCGGAGCGTCCCTCTGAAGATGTGCTACGTGTCCCGCAAGTGCCTCCCCACCGACCCGGAGCACAGGTCAGCGCGTGGCGCTGGGGCTGGCGGTGCCCCCGCGGTTCCAGGGAGCTGAGGGCAGTGGGGACCCATGGGGGCCGTGTCCCTGCAGGTACCTGGAGGTGTGCTCTGCGGACGGGCGCGTGGCCCTCTTCCTGCGGGCGAAGGACGAGGCCACGGCGCAGTCGTGGCTCGGCGCCATCCAGGCCAACGCGGCCGCGCTGCTGCCGCGGGTGAAGGAGGAGCTGCGGGTGCAGCTGGCGGGGGCTGGCACCGTGGCTGGACGRGAGGTCAAGCATGTGGGCTGGCTGACCGAGCAGGTACCCCCCGAGCTCCTGTCACCCCGTGCCACCGTGCTGCCACCATGCTGACCCTGACACGGTCCCTTTGCAGCTCCCTAGTGCCGGCACCAGGAACCTGTTGGCCGTGCTCACGGAGAAGGAGCTGCTGCTGTACGGGAGCCTTCCACAGAGCCGGGATGCCCTGGGCAAGCCCACGCACAGCTACCCCCTCATCGCCACCAGGTAGGGGCCACCAGCTCAGAGCCCTCCTGCCCTGCGCGGGGACAKGGTGCTGGCAGTGACCGGGGCAGTGGCAGGGTCTGGCAGTCAGGGCAGAACCCCAGGGATGGGATCAGACTGCCAAAGTGGTGACAGTGAGCAGGGATGGTGGCAGGAGCTGGGGGTCAGGGCATAGCCCCGGGGTGATGGCAGGGACTGGTGTTTGAGGTGTTTAGATAAGAGTCCCAGAGTTGGTGGCAGGGCAGTGGTGATGAGGACAGTGTCCGAGGGCATGGCACGGGAGTTTAGGGCGCAGGGGTGGTGACAGCGTCTAGGGGTGGTGTCAGGGCAGTGGGGACAGTGGTGCCGAGTCCCGGGGACGGTGCCGGGGTTCGGGCCGGGTGTCGAGGCGGGGTTGGGGTAGGGTTTCAGGGTGGAGGGCGTGGGTTCGGGGCGCGTTTTTGGGGCGGGGATCGGGCGTTTCTGGGGCGGGGATCGGGCGGTTCTGGGGCGGGGATCGGGCGGTTCTGGGGCGGGGATCGGGCGGTTCTGGGGCGGGGATCGGGCGGTTCTGGGGCGGGGATCGGGCGGTCCTGGGCGGGGATCGGGCGGTTCTGGGGCGGGGATCGGGCGGTTCTGGGGCGGGGATCGGGCGGTTCTGGGGCGGGGATCGGGCGGTCCTGAGCGGGGATCGGGCGGTTCTGGGGCGGGGATCGGGCGGTCCCGGGGCGGGCGCTGAGGGCCTCATCCGTGGGGCTGCAGCGCCCCCTGGCGGCCCCGCCGCGCAGCCACCGCCGAGCCGAGCGGGATGAGGTGCTGAGGGCYTCCGGGATGTGAAACGGAGCGGGATGAGGCGCTGAGGGCGTGCGGGATGCGGGGCTGGGCCYGTGCGGGATGYGRAGCAGAGCGGGATGAGGCCCTGAGAGCGGTGCGGGATGTGGAGCGGGATGGGATGCGAAGCAGRGCGGGATGAGGCGCTGGGGCGGTGCGGGATGCGGGCCCGGGGCTGTGCCGGGGCTGTGTGAGGAGCGGTGCTGAGGCGGTGCGGTGCTCAGGAGCCGTGCGGGGTGCCGGGATGTTGCGGTGTGTGGTGCTGGGGTGAAGCACTCGGGCGATCCAGCACTGAGGGAGTGCGGGGTGCGGTGTTGGGGCTGTGCCGTGTTGGGGCTGTGCTGGGGCTGTGCTGGGATGGCTGGGGAGCGGTGAGGGGCGATATCGCGGCAGTGCTGGCTCTGTGCGGGGCTCGGCGCTGAGCGGTGGCCGTGCCGCAGGCTGGTGCACTCGGGGCCGGCCAAGGGCTCGGCGCCCTACGAGGCCGAGCGCTCGTTCGCGCTGCGTGCCGGCGGCCGCCTGGGCGTGCAGACCCATCTCTTCAGCCTGGAGAGCCCCCGAGAGCTCGCCCTGTGGACGCGGCTGCTGGTGGACGGCACCCACGGCGCCGCCGAGCTGGCCCAGGAGGTCTCGGCAGGTCAGCGGGGGCCCGGSGGGTCGGGAGGTGCGGTGGGACCCCCGGCTCACCCCTGTCCCGTTGTGTGCCCAGCCTGCACGTGGAAAGGGCAGGACTGCACCCTGACCGTCCACATCGACAAGGGCTTCACCATCTCCACCAGCGAGCCCGGGCTCAGCAGGACCATCCTGCTCCAGCAGCCCTTCGAGAAGCTGCAGATGTCCTCGGATGATGGCACCAAGATGCTCTACCTGGACTTTGGAGGCCCGGAGGGAGAGATTGTGAGTTGGCTTTGCCTTCAGCATCCCCACCCACACTCCTGGSGGGAGAGGGGGAACAGAGCATCCACCCTGCTCACAGCACCCATCCTGCCTGGCATGGGGATCTGCCCAACCCAGCCAGGGTGCACACCCCTTYCCAGGGAGGCTGTGGTGGGTTTGGGGAACTCTGGGTGGTCCCCAACTGAAAGCTGGTTACTGYGGGAACAGCCCTCCACATCGCAAACATCCCTATTTTCCTTTTTTTTGCAGCAATTGGACCTTCACTCCTGCCCCAAAACCATCGTGTTCATCATTCACTCCTTTCTGTCGGCCAAGGTGACTCGGCTGGGGCTGCTGGCGTGATGAGGGAGCACAGCATGGGGCGGAGCAGCCCACGCCCCAGGCCCATCTATGCATCTCCCTCCTGGCCGAACCCAGCCCYGAACCATCCCAAGGAGACTGCAGCCCCTGTGGGATCACGCCACCTCCATCAAGGAAAAGCGCCATCCAACCGGGAGAAACCCCTCCCGGGGCGTTTGGGGGCAGCGCTGGGGTCAAACCCCTCTTGGATGGCAGCACCAGGACTTCTYYGGTCTCTTCTTCCCCTCCTTCCTCRGTGGCTAGAGAAGCCCKTTGGGAGCCCACGAGTGGACACGTGGCCATCACCCCAGTGCCTTGAGAGATGATATTTTGTGTACAAAGAACCCATTTGTATCCATGTTTTATATTTATATTGCCCACCTGAAAACGCTGATGCAGCAGCTCTTCCCCACCTGGCTTGGATCCCTCCGAGAGTCCCCAGGTCCTGCAGCACAGGGACCTGTGYCTGTTTTCCAGACAGGCAACCCAARGGCTGGAGGCCAAAGCCAGCTCTAAAGTGCTTAAGGGACAGGAACTGTAAGATCAGCTGTGTTTGCCAAWTTTTTCCATCTTGTATGGAAGGATAGGAACCACTTTTCTCTGTTGGAGTTGGACAATTAGTTTGGTTTTATGCACTCTGGGGTCACTTTATTTCTCGGTTTGGGGGGGAGGGTTGTCAGGTGGCTGCTGCGGAATAACTTCTTTTATGAATCAAAAGATTCTGCATGAAAGTGTGGGTTTTTTGGGGTTAAATAAACTTTGCAGATCACAACCAGCAGGAGCCAAGATCTGTCTCCTGGTTTCACTTGGTGAAGTAGAAAATCAGTTTGTGGGTGATGCCTGGGCTGAGCCTTGGGGTGTTTTCCACCAGGGGAAGGAACGGGTTTGCCTGGAGGCTGCTCTGAGCTGGTGATGCAGGTCTGGGGTGCTGGGGACACTGCAGGGGGCTTYAGATGGGGACAGAAAGTCTTTTAAGGTACCCAGCACTGTGCTGGGAGTGACAGAGAGTGACATGCTGATGCCAGCACCAGCTTTGGTGATATCAGATGGGTTTAGATTCCCTGTGCTTTGGGATTCTCAATAGAGGGYGGGCATCATTTCCAAACTCAAAAAAGTTGTTTTGCTTTTTATATTTYCATTTTTT